TGCTCTCCAGTGGTATAATTACCATTGACTACATAAAGTCAAGAGATAATTTGGCGGATCCGTTTACTAAAGGTTTGAATGGAGAGCAAGTTTATAGATCATCGAGGGGAATGGGGTTAAAGCCCATGTCAAATGAGTCGTCATAGTGGAAACCCAACCTAGTTGACTGGAGATCCCTTGATCTAGGTTCAAAAGGGACAACTAAATTATGATAACTCAAAAATAACACAGCGGAGATATATTCTCCTACCCATATCCTATGATGATACAGTGTTGTATGAAATGTGTTTAGGTTAAGTTATGCTTTTAATGATTCCTATACCTTGATTATCCGAGTAAGATATGAGAGGATATTACCAATAGGAAATCACCTATATAAGTGTGAAATGGGGCCGTTTCCATGAGAATTTTTAGGGCTAAATTCTCTAAAGCACTTATGAATGCCAGGAGTTGCTCAGGGCCAAAACGAGCACAACCGATCAAACCAAATATGTCTAGAAGGGTATTGTGTGAGTATTATTGTTTGGGTTGACACGAATGGCTGAACAGTTCAAGACATCACGTTCACTGATTAGCCAAGTAAATCCGATAGTACTTCACTATAGAAGGCTCAAAGCCAAAAGCTACCTATCCAAATGCCATATTCTTCTAATAGGAACTCTCTCTAAGTCTGCATTATCATTTGCATATTGTTGAAACTAATTTCCATTCATGTGGGGGATTGTGAGAAATTTAATATTAATTTTCTATTTGAATGGAAATTAATAAAATCCATTGGGTTAAGGACATGACCCTTGGGTTAAAGACATCTTCAATTGGGGGGTGACAACTCTTCGAACTAAGGAATACATTGTTTGGGGTGATAACTCTTCAAGACCAAGGGATGTATTGTTTGCCTTTTCAGATTGGGATACCTTTTTGGAAAGGGTATTTCATCATCTATAAATAGACCAATCCTCCTGCAGTTTTAATCATTCAATCAATTCTCTACATACATACTTTCAAACATATAGAGCATTAGAGTTTCATAAAGAGAGGTTCCTGCATAATTTTGGTTCAAAGTTCCTTGTGAATTGTAGTGCTTCTTTCATAAGGAGGAGAGTCGTTGTATCCTGGGAGGCGAACGCTTGTGAACCATATAAGCACCAGTGTGGGGCGTAATTCGTCTTAAGGTCAGAGTGTCCAACACTTGCCTCGACTCCAATTAAGGTTCTTTTAATTCCATTCTGTTGTTGTAAAAATCTGTTTTGTTTGTAGTGTTTATTTATTTATTTTATAGCAATTTAGCACTCACATTTCCTACACTAATTATATTATTCAACACCGCGATCCATCAAGATCAAACTGATAATAAGGAGAAATTTCCTAACAGTCCATGGTGTGAACGCAACGTACACACTCTGCCATGCCATTATCTTTATGTTAAGCATCTTGCTTTTGTTACCCTCCTTTTTTTTTTCTTAAGCCAACAACTCCAATTGTCTGTTTTTGACAAAACAATTTACTCGTTAATAAAGTACGTACTAGATCACTTGTCAGTGACTCTGGCCAGCCCCATCACTCACTCGGTATTATTAAATCCCTTTAGAAAAAGACATCTTGATTTCATTTGCTTGACTAAACATAATTGCTTTTATGTCGATGGATCCATTCACACGCTGCTTGTTTATAACATCCAGGAAAGGAAGTAGAAACCTCAAACCTTATAATTGATTTCCACTGAGACAGTTTTTTTGTTCATCACCACACTTCCATCTATGGCACTTGTGAGATCAGCTCAACAAACCTCCTCTTCTAATACTTCTCCATATTGTCGTTATCACGTGTTCCTGAGTTTCAGAGGTGAAGACACTCGCAAGAATTTTACTGACCACCTCTACACAGCCTTGGTCAACGCCGGATTTCGCACTTTCAGAGACGATGATGAGCTTGAGAGAGGAGAAGATATTAAGCGGGAACTGCAGAAAGCAATCAAACACGCACGAACTTCTGTTATTGTGTTTTCGAAAGAATACGCATCGTCCAGATGGTGCCTTGACGAGCTCGTCATGATCCTTGAACGCAAGAGGATCTCAGCTGACCATGTCGTTTTACCTGTCTTCTACGACGTGGATCCATCCGATGTGCGGAAGCAGACAGGAAGTCTTGGAAAGGCATTTGCTAGACACCAAAAAACACAACCGTCGAACAAAGTGAAGGAATGGAGGGAGGCACTTGCAGAAGTTGCAGATCTGGCAGGGATGGTCTTACAAAATCAAGCTGATGGGTAATTTCTTTCCTACCATTTCTTTTATTTACAAGTCTCTTTCTAAAGTTGAAATACTGAAAATGGACTTTTTCTTTTTTATATCTCCTTCCAACGAGTTACTAATGGGTTGACGGATTGTAGGATGTTTGATATATATTTTTCATTTGGATTGTAACTTTTCAGACATGAGTCAAGGTTTATCAACAAGATTGTTCAAGTGATAGGAGAAAAACTAAGGCGTAGACCCCTAAGTGTTCCCCACATCATGATCGGAATGCATTCTCGAGTCAACGAACTTAATTTATGGTTACAAGATGGATCATATGATGTCGGCATACTTGTAATTTATGGCATGAGTGGAATAGGGAAGACAACCATTGCAAAGTCTGTTTATAACACAAACTTTAGTACATTTGATGAAAGCAGCTTCCTTGAAAACATTAGAGAAATTTCACAACTGCCCAATGGCCTAGTTCAAATACAAATACAACTTCTTTCGGATATCTTGTATGGGAGAAAAGTAAAAATACACAGTGTTAGCAAGGGAATGACTGAGATAGAAGATGCGATAAGCTCTAAAAAGGTTTTTCTTGTTCTCGATGATGTGGATCATATTAGCCAATTAGATGTGGTGCTTGGGATGAAAGATCAGTTTTATCCAGGAAGTAAAATCATCATAACAACTAGGCGTGCAGGATTGTTAAAGGCTCATCAAGTTTCTAAGGTGTATGCAGTTGAAACTTTGACTCGAGAAGAATCATTGGAGCTCTTCAGTTGGCACGCTTTTGGCCAAGACCATCCTGTTGAAGATTTGTAACACCCCGACCCCAAATTTATCCCACGTTTAATTAATTTAAGTGGAATTGAGAAATTACCCGTGGGATAAGGGTATTTTGGTCATTTTCTTACTCGGAAGGAATTTGGGAATTTCGGTTGTACCGTTGCGTAGAGCACGGTGAGATGAGTTCGTAGACACGTAGTGGGCTCGAATCGGAGTTGTAACGAGAGAGATATGGTCAAATGAAGCTCAGTGGCATAATCGTAAATATTTGGAAAATGGATTTTTGGTTAAAAAGACGGAATTGCCCCCGTCTGTCTCTCTCTCTCTCCCGCGCGTCTCTCCCTCTCTCCTCTGGTTTTT